GCCTGCTATCGAGGTATCTATCGATGATTTCTGTGTTGTTTGTTAAGACTTCTCTGGTGATGGTCTGGTTGTGAGAGGAGATTATATGTTCCTTAATGGAGCCCTATTACCGCCTGCTATCGATAGATACACCGATAGCAGGCGGCTTGACATCTGCGAGGCAGATGTCAAGCGTTAGTTTGGTTAATTTATTTTGCACTTCATACCATTTCTGAAGGCTACAAACGTGATTGAACGCACAAAACACTAAACTGTGGCCAGTCTTGGGGTAGACTCCTATTACATTTACTATGTGATAGTTTGATACGGAATCGACACCGTCGCTGGAGTGTGGAGTGGCGATGTCAGCACCATCTATTTATTTAAAAAAAAAAAATAATAAAAATAAAATAAAATGTTTATTTAGGTAAGGTACATACATACAATAAATTTTTACAAAGATTGGTTGACTTATAGGTAGAGCTAGTACATACAATGCCTAAAGCCACTATTACGCAAAGCGTTTCGGGCATGATAAACTTAAATGACAAGCTTAATACTAATTGAGCATAAAGAGTAGAATGAAAACAAGAAATGAAAACATAGCTGAAAAAGCAGCACAAATACAATTATGTCGACAAACAGCGCTCTTTAAAAAAACAGACATTGGTTGACAATAGAAGGGTAAGGTAGGTTACAGGGAATTTATTAGGTATAGCTTCGTTTTTATCTTAAACTGGTTGAGAGAGGTACAGTCTTTATCATGGTTGGGAAGGTCATTCCACATTCTGGGCCCCTTGATTTGTAGAGCATTTCTAGTTTGATTAAGTCGTACTCTAGGAATATCAAAACTGTATTTATTTCTGGTGTGGTGCTCATGGGTTCTGTTTATTTATTTTATTTATTTATTTATTTATATATATATACAAGAAGGTACATTGGGTTTGTGAGAATACATTGGATAGTACAGTATTTACATTCTTGTAAAGCCACTAGTACGCGCAGCGTTTCGGGCAGGTCCTTAATCTAGCAGATAATTTTAAGTAGGTAATTTCTATCAGAATTGATAAATGATAAAGATACATTACAAGAGAAAAATGAGATGAGAGAGCTTAGTAAGTATATTAAAGCACATTGTTATATTAAAGCTCTGATTGATTACATTGACAGCTTGATTAGTAATTTAAACAAGATTAATAGACACCATACAGCAGATTGACAGCACATATAAGACAGCAATGATCACAATGGTAAGGATGTTCAGATTGGGTACATAAAGATTGGGAGACTGGGTAGCAAAAGATACAGATAAACAAGATTTATAAACACCATACAACAGATTGGCAGCACATATAAGAAAACAGCAATGATCACAATGGTAAAGATGTTCAAATTGGGAACATAAAGGTTGGTTATTGGGTAGCAATAGATACAGTACAATTTTAAGGCAAAAAGTGAAAAACTATGAAGATGAAATTAGGTACTTTTTAGTATTGATTTTGAATGATGTAAAAGTTGGACAACTTTTCAATTCAGTAGGGAGTGAGTTCCATAAACTGGGTCCCTTTATTTGCATAGAGTGTTTACACAGATTAAGTTTAACTCTGGGGATATCAAAGAGATATTTATTTCTGGTGTGGTGATAATGGATCCTATTACATCTGTCCAGGAAGAGTTTCAGACAAGGATTTGCATTTAAGAACAGGGTTTTGTAAATGTAGTTGACACAAGAGAATTTATGGAGTGAGATTATGTTCAGCATGTTTAGGGAGTTAAACAAGGGGGCTGTGTGTTGTCTGAAAGCAGAATTTGATATTATTCTGATAGCAGATTTTTGTTGGGTGATGATGGACTTGAGGTGGTTTGCAGTGGTTGAACCCCATGCACAGATACCATAGTTGAGATAGGGATAGATCTATGGGTCTGCACTCCAACTCCCCGGTATTTGGTGCAACTCAGACAACGCCCTCTGTTGGTGGTGGCGTGGCAGCAGTGAATGGCTCTGGTTTCCTGCCTCAATCAAAATGTGAGGTCGATGATGACCTCTGGTGGGTGACTGTTACGGACCCGAGCCCAGCGTCCGAGCACGGAGCAGTGACGACCGCGCCATCTGTGGGTCAGCTCCCGAAACCCCCTCCAAATGGACGACGCCACCTAGTGAGGACGAGATATACTGGCCACAAGGGCTAGTTTCCCGTCCTGATCAGCTCATAACACAGCCGCTGCTGACCTCTGGTGAGGTGGAGCTTAGACAGCAACGCCATCTATGGAGTGGATACGTTGGGTGTTTGTGTCTAAGCCTGTAAGTGAGGTGCCCTAGAGTGTCCCTGTTACTGATGACGTGTCTGATTACAGAGTCGACCTGGGACTGCTGTAATGAACGTTGGATCAGTCTACCCAAGGCAGCTGTCTCGTCTCCAAGTATTTGCTGCAGCAGCTGTGAGTCACCCCCCGGATGAACACTGTGGTGTTAGCCTGCCTGTGACGTGGCAGTTGAGGGATTGTCGTACCCGGGACTGACAGGTGGAGACGCTTAACCACTGGGGTGTAGTGGCGAGGAGAGTGGTCTGTGGGATCACACGAGGCTCCTGACTAGGGCTCGCTACCCTAGTATCGGTCGTGGAGTGGCCTAACCAGCGTTGCTGATTGGAACCTGCCAGCTACCGGCTGGACTTGTGGTTGATGGCCTCCACGACGGTGCCCCCAGTGGAACTGTGATTTGGCTGGCCTGTAGCCAGGGTAGACTCAAGAGAATCGAAGGATTCGTCGTGAGGCCACAAGAGGACCAAGAGCTTAGCATCATTGAGCACTGTGAACGTCCAGAGTCTTCAGAGGAAGACTACGTTGTATATTATAGTGTTTATTCCTCCCCCTTGTGATAATCTTTATATTATTTATGGTGACGGTGATAATTATATTATTAAGTTTTTGCCTTTGTCTCCCTTCCCCTTTTATTTTACTTGCGTTACGGATTACATCCCTTGAAAGCCACTACTAGCTTGGGGCCGGATACCCTACCTCTAACAACATCAGAGAAAGAACCCGGTTGCGACCCGAGAGGGCCGTAACAGTGACGTATCAAGATCAGTGCCATCTAGGTTGTGGCTACAAGCATAATATCAATTCCCCGGTAGACGAGTGTTATCTCAGGGTTACCCAGTGTACTCTCCATCGGGCTAATGACGTTTTTATGTCCACAGAGATGACATATGGAAGCGATTGAGCTGAGGAGGGCAGTTTACCTTAGACAGTCCACAAACTCTTGACTTGGTCCTGCTAGAGGACTAAGTAGCTGCTGTCGATCCGAACAGTGTGTGTTAGCTGCTGATATATGTAGTGTTTTTAAAGATCGACGTACCCGGGATTGGCCAGTAAGAGTTACGGAAGACAGTGATGTGTCTATTGTGAAGTGCTGCTAGCAAGCTGCTAGAGGTTTCTGCCAGGGGTGTTAGCTACCCCCGTATGTGTTAGTTTGGGACCCCTGTCAGCGTGTTGCTGAAGCCCTCTGCCAGTAAGTATCTGGCGAGCGAAGGTGGGGTGTAGGCACATCGTGATACTGTGTGGGTGGGCTGGCCCATGTAGAAGGTAAACTTGCCAGTGTTGGCCAGTGCGAGTGGACAACGTGTACTCGAATGTGATTTCACTGGGCTTGATGAACTCTGTTGTTGTGTTGTGTCCTGCGTGACAGACACCATTGTAAACAGGTGTAGTTATACTTTAATATTATATATATTGGTGAAAGGAATTGTGTTTTGCTTATCCCCCCTCCCCCCTCATTTATTCATTGCACTACTACTTGATACAGCCAGGTCTTGAAAGCTTATCACCGACTTGGGGTTGAATATTGTAAAAAAAAACCCGGTTACTGGCCCTAAGTGGCCGTAACATAGTTGTACTTGTATATATTAATATGTATTAAAGATTAACGCCTAACATGCAATAATAATAATAATAATAATAATAATAATAATTTCTTTATGAACAGTACATACATAGTTGCAGCGTTACAGTACAAACATTCTGTTAGATTTAAAGATAGAGGTAGTACATACAATACCTAAAGCCACTAGTACGCACAGCGTTTCGGGCATATTAATTAATAAAAGTAAAGTCAGAAACCACCCGCCTGTCTCCACATGTCTTTTGTATTAAAGTGTTTTGGGCGCTCTTGTACTTGTAAAGTGATTGACTGATTGATGAAGATTAAGCCACCCAAGAGGTGGCACGGGCATGAATACCCCGTAACTGATATACTAAACGACGGACGACTAAAACCGTCAGTCGTTAAATGTTCCACAGCTTCTTCACTCCCAACTGTTATGTAGGGCCGCTGAACACCTTTGAACAGTGGTTCATAATCACCAAGTTCCTTGCTAGTTGAACCGTTCACTCCAGCTTCTGGTGAAAATTCAGTACAGACGTCGAAGGCAATAACAGCCGCGTCCTCTTGTTAACCCAGAGACCTTCCTGCTGTGAGTCCTTGTTGCCTCGCTCCGGTGAGATGCTCCTGCTGACTGTCGCTTGGCTTCATATTCTGTCCATCTGGCGCCGGTCACTGCTGTTTTCTAAGGTCGTTTGTCGTCATGACTTCTCTGTCAAGCGTCTGTCCATAATTTTCATTTTTTTTCTTCCTCGACATTGCTTCTTTAAATGGGCTAGAGTCCTCATCTTGTTTATCCTTCATGACAGACAAGGAGCAGTTTCCTATATCGCTCAGCCAAGCCGTTTCCGCCATTTCTTATAACAATTCACTAATCAATCAACGGATGAGCGACTTGGTTTGCCTAGCAGGTGATCACAAGTTTAAGACTTTCAGGATCACTCCACGACACCTCCATCTTCTTCTAAACTTGGGATAGGACTGGCAGAGTCCTTTACCAGACTATAGACATAAGTCCCTATGGAAAATGTCACCAGAACAAGTGTAGTCTAGAACAATCCAGAAAACAAGAGGTCGGAATGTAAGAATGAATTTAAAGAGGAAAGAATAACGAAAACCCTCCAAAAACAGAAAAAAATACATGTCAGTTTATAAACTAAACGAAATTCCCGACGACTGGGTGAGCAACACCTCACGTTGGGAGAGGAGCCGCCCAACATCAGCCGGGGAACATTACCCGTCACCCACGGACAACAGGCCACTGGGAGAGGAACACCTTCAGGAGTCACCCACGGACAAGAGGCCACTGGGAGAGGAACACCTTCAGGAGTCACCCACGGACAAGAGGCCACTGGGAGAGGAACACCTTCAGGCGTCACCCACGGACAACAGGCCACTGGGAGAGGAACACCTTCAGGAGTCACCCACGGACAAGAGGCCACTGGGAGAGGAACACCTTCAGGAGTCACCCACGGACAAGAGGTCACTGGGAGAGGAACACCTTCAGGAGTCACCCACGGACAACAGGCCACTGGGAGAGGAACACCTTCAGGAGTCACCCACGGACAAGAGGTCACTGGGAGAGGAACACCTTCAGGAGTCACCCACGGACAACAGGCCACTGGGAGAGGAACACCTTCAGGAGTCACCCACGGACAAGAGGCCACTGGGAGAGGAACACCTTCAGGAGGCAGGACGAGAAAAAGATCTGGGGGTTGATATAACACCAGACACGTCCCCTGAAACCCACATCAAAAGGATAACATCAGCGGCGTATGCCAGGTTGGCGAACATAAGCACTGCCTTCAGAAACTTGTGTAAGGAATCATTCAGAACCTTGTATACCTCATGTCAGACCAATACAGGAATATGCAGCTCCAGCCTGAGTACCCAAATGAGCCACAGGGACGTTAGAAAGAACTTTTTCAGTGTCAGAGTAGTTAGCAGATGGAATGCACTAGGCAGTGATGTGGTGGAGGCTACCTCCATACACAGTTTAAGATGTAGATATGATAGAATCCAGGAGGCTCAAGAACTTGTACACCAGTTGATTGACAGTTGAGAGGCAGGACCAAGGAGTCAGAGCTCAACCCCGCAAGCACAACTAGGTGAGTACTAGACGTGATGAACTAAGAGTAACTCATAATTCACGAATAGTAACGACGAAATTATTATTAACTTATCAACACAAACGCCATTATTTAGGGCGGCGGGAGTGGAATGATCACATGCCCGAAACTGTTTGCGTAATAGCGTGGTTTGCCCGAAACGCATTGCGTAATAGTGGCTTTAGGCATTGTATGTACTAGCTCTATCTATATATCAATCCATTAATGTAACATCACTTGTATGTATGTACCTTACCTGAATAAACATATTTATTTATTTATTTATTTATTTACATAACCGACACACGCAAATATTTATAACGAAAGAAAACTAGACTCCAAATAACTCCAAAAATATATAGGTTAAGCTACTGGGTGAATGGCCTCCAAACAAATACATATATACTGGGCAGAAAATAAGGTATAGTAAATATTATATAACGGTATTATATATTATTCAGGACGCGAACTATTGAATAAGGGAGTGTTGAGCATAGAGGGGGAAACTAAACTCCATTTGGATCGTAGCATAAACGGAAATATTGGTAGTTTATAGAAAACGAAACGTCTGGAACTATGGTATACTCGCGGAAACTCGCATCACTCAGCGCCACCAGTATTCAAATCAAATCAAATGTTTATTCAGGTAAAAGTACATACATAAAAATTTAGTTACAAACATAATGTTGGATTTCTAGATAGAGTTAGTACATATTAGTACCTAAAGCCACTAATACGCATAACGGTACGGGCAAGGTGGGGGGAAAAACACTTAGACTAAAACTTAAATTAATACTAATTGAGATCAAAGAATAAATTGAATTGGAAAAAAGCGGAAATCAGTAATTATACAAGTTGGTCAACAAAGAGTATTGTTTGAAAATAGCAAGACATGGGTCGACATTTAGGGGGTACGGTAGGTTACATGGAGTTTATTAGGTAGTACTTAGTATTTGTCTTAAACTGGTTGAGAGAGTAACAGACTTTATTTATTTATTTATTTTTTATTTATTTATTTATTTATATATATACAAGAAGGTACATTGGGATTGTGAGGATACATAGCATAGTAATTACATTCTTGTAAAGCCTCTAGTACGTGCAGCTTTCGGGCAGGTCCTTAATCTAAGAAAATTTAGGTAGGTAAATACTTGCAAAATTTATAAAAATGATAACAGTTACATAGCAAGAAAAAAATAAAAGATGAGAGATTTTGACATGATTAGGAAGGTCATTCCACACTCTGAGTCCCTTGATTTGTAGAGCATTTCTCGTTTGATTAAGTCATACTTTTGGAATATAAAATAGGTATTTGTTTCTGGTGTGGTGCCCGTGGGTTCTGTTACAACCTTCTAGGAGGCTTTTAAGGTCAGGATTGACATTGCAGTTCAGAGATTTAAATATATAGAGTACACTTGAGAGGATGTGCAGTGACTTAATATGTAACATTCACTTAACAATCACTTACGTCCTCTAATTACTCAACACAAAGCTGCTATTAGGACAATATCCAACTCTGGCCCCAGACATCACTCGGTACCCATACTCAAATCTCTGAATATGTTAGACATTAAGTCACTGCACATTCTCTCATGTGTATTATACATATATAAAACGCTAAACTATAATGCCAATCCTGACCTCAAAAGCTTCATAGAAGGTTGTAACAGAACCCATGAGCACTACGCCAGAAATAAATACAGTTTTGATATTCCTAGAGTACGACTTAATCAAACTAGAAATGCTCTACAAATCAAGGGGCCCAGAATGTGGAATGACCTTCCCAACCATGTTAAAGACTGTACCTCTCTCAACCAGTTTAAGATAAAAACGATGCTATACCTAATAAATTCCCTGTAACCTACCTTACCCTTCTATTGTCAACCAATGTCTTTTTTTTTAAAGAGCGCTGTTTGTCGACAGAATTGTATTTGTGCTGCTTTTTCAGCTATGTTTTCATTTCTTGTTTTCATTCTACTCTTTATGCTCAATTAGTATTAAGCTTTAGTCATTTAAGTTTATCATGCCCAAAACGCTTTGCGTAATAGTGGCTTTAGGTATTGTATGTACTAGCTCTACCTATAAGTCAACCAATCTTTGTAAAAATTTCTTGTATGAATGTACCTTACCTAAATAAACATTTATTTATCAAATCAAATGTTTCAAAGATTTAAGTAAGGGTGCCGAGTGCTTTTCAATTCAATTTTATTATTTTTATTATATATACAAATACAAATATTTATTCAGGTAAAGTACATACATACAAGGTAAGATACAAAGTTGATGGGTTTATAGGTAGAGCTAGTACATACAATGCCTAAAGCCACTATTATGCAAAGCGTTTCGGGCAGGAAAAACACTAAAGACTAAAACTTAATACTAATTGAGATTACAGTATAAATTGTGTTGAGAAATAAAAAAAGAGGGGAGCATGGCAGAAAAAATAGCAAATATACAATTTGGTCAACAAACAGCATTGTTTAAAATAGTAGACATGGGATGACATATAGGGGTAAGGTAGGTTACAGGGAGTTAAATAGGTAGTACTTAGTTTTTATCTTAAACTGGTTGAGAGAGGTACAGTCTTTAACATGATTGGGAAGGTCATTCCACATTCTGGGTCCTTTGATTTGTAAAGCATTTCTAGTTTGACTAGGTCGTACTCTTGGAATATCAAATAGGTATTTGTTTCTAGTGTGGTGCTCTTACGACTTAATCAAAGTAGAAATGCTCTACAAATCAAGGGACCCAGAATGTGGAATGACCTTCCCAATTATGTTAAAGACTGTACCTCTCTCAACCAGTTTAAGATAAAAACTAAGCACTACCTAATTAACTCCCTGTAACCTACCTTACCCCTATATGTCAACCCATGTCTGCTATTTTAAACAATGCTGTTTGTCGACCAAATTGTATTTTTTGCTGTTATTCTGCCATGTTCCCCCTTTTTTATTTTTATATTTTCTCAACACAATTTATACTTTAATCTCAATTAGTATTAAGTTTTAGTATTTAGTGTTTTCCTGCCTGAAACGCTTTGCGTAATAGTGGCTTTAGGCATTGTATGTACTAGCTCTATCTATAAATCCATCAATATTTGTATCACACCCTGTATGTATGTACCTTACATGAATAAAAATTTGAATTTTGAATTTTATAGCTGCTGCTGCTGATATCAACTTTGAATCCGAATTAGGGAACACAGGGGGACATCAACCTAGCAGTGCAATCTTTTCTTAAAAAAACTCTCAGCCTTTATAACACCCACTGTCCTATGCTAACGAAACAAATCACAACTAAAATGCTAAACAAGCCTTGGCTTACAAAGGAGATACTTAAATCTTTTAATAAAAAGCATAACCATGAGAAGAAGTGTAGGTTAGGAATCGTCTCTAAAGAATTAAAAAAAAATTACTTATCAAATCAAATCAAATCAAATCAAATCAAATCAAATGTTTATTTAGGTAAGGTACATACATACAAGAGATTTTACAAAGAGTGATGGATTTATAGATAGGGCTAGTACATACAATGCCTAAAGACACTATTACGCAAAGCGTTTCGGGCATGAAAAACTTAAATGACTAAAGCTTAATACTAATTGAGCATAAAGAATAAAATGAAAACATGGAATGAAAACATAGCTGAAAAAGCAGCACAAATACAATTCTGTCGACAAACAGCGCCATTAAAAAAAAAAAACAGACATTGGTTGACAATAGAGGGGTAAGGTAGGTTACAGGGAATTTATTAGGTATAGCTTCGTTTTTATCTTAAACTGGTTGAGAGAGGTACAGTCTTTAACATGGTTGGGACGGTCATTCCACATTCTGGGTCCCTTGATTTGTAGAGCATTTCTAGTTTGATTAAGTCGTACTCTAGGAATATCAAAACTGTATTTATTTCTGGTGTGGTGCTCATGGGTTCTGTTACAACCTTCTATGAAGCTTTTGAAGTCAGGATTGGCATTACAGTTTAGCGTTTTATATATGTATAATACACATGAGAGAATGTGCAGTGACTTAATATCTAACATATTCAGAGATTTGAGTAGGGGTACCGAGTGGTGTCTGGGGCTAGAGTTTGATATTGTCCTAATAGCAGCTTTGTGTTGGGTAATTAGAGGACGTAAATGATTTTGGGTAGTAGAACCCCAAGCACAAATACCATAGTTGAGGTATGGATAGATGAGGGAGTAATAGAGAGTCACCAGGGCAGGGCGAGGTACATAATATCTGATCTTAGAAAGAATGCCAACAGTTTTTGAAACTTTTTTTGATATATTTAGAATGTGTCCCTGGAAATTCAGCTTGTGATCAATGAGAATGCCAAGGAACTTGCCATCTAATTTGTTGTTACAAATTTGGGTATTGTTTATTTTGAGATTTATTTGATTAGAGGATTTATTGCCAAACAGAATATAGAAAGTTTTGTCAATGTTAAGGGTGAGTTTGTTGGCAGTTAGCCAAAGATGGACTTTATTTAGCTCAGTATTTACTGTGGCATTTAGAGCAAGGGGGTCAGGACTGGAGTAAATGAAGGTTGTGTCGTCAGCGAATAGAATTGGTTTGAGATGTTGGGAGGCATTTGGAAGGTCATTAATGTAGATGAGAAAGAGGAGAGGGCCAAGTATGCTGCCCTGAGGAACACCAATGTTGATGGGTAGGGTGGGAGAAATTGAATTATTCACAGAAACATACTGGAGCCTGTCAGTAAGGTAGGATTTGAGGTATTGCAAGGAGTGTCCTCTGACTCCATAATGATGTAATTTAAGAAGAAGGTTTTGGTGGTTGACAGTGTCAAAAGCCTTACGCAGGTCCACAAATAACACAACAGGGAACTCATTTTTATCAAGAGCTGCATGAATCAAGTTAAGCATACTAATAAGTGCATCGTTAGTGTTTTTTTTGGGTCTGAAGCCATATTGACAAGAGCTAAGTATATTGTGTTTGGCTAGATAAGAATAAAGCTGCTTGTAGATTAGTTTTTCAAAATTTTTTGACAAGTTAGGCAGGATTGATATAGGTCTGTAGTTGTTAACATCTGTGAGATCACCACATTTGTGTACAGGGGTAACTCTCGTTTTTTTAGGATATCTGGAAAGGTTTGGAGTTCAAGTGACTTGTTGAAGAGCAATGCAATGCAGGGGCTAAAGTTCTGGAGGCTTTTTTGTAAATTAAAGTTGGTATCTCCTCGAGGGCACTAGACTTGGTTTTAAGGGAAAGGATTATCTCTTTGACGTCAGTGGAATTAATTAATAGGCTTTAGGTACAGAGACTGTGGATAGTTACCTGTAAGATAGTCATTAACATCAGTACTGGAAGATGGAATATCATTAGCAAGGGATGACCCAATGGAAGAGAAGAACCTATTGAACTCAATAGCAGAATCTGAGGCTGAAAGCTGACCAACGTTATTGGACAGGAGTGTTGGTTTGTTATTTAAAGTCTTCTTTGATCCCAATATTTGTGAAATTGTTCTCCAAGTTTTTTTAATGTTGCTCTTTATATGGGTAAATTTATCTTCGTAGTACTTAGTTTTGGCTCGTCTAATTATCTTAGATAGCAATAACGAGTAATTCTTTGAGAATTCTTTGGAGACAATTCCTAACCTATACTTCTTCTCAAGGTCATGTTTTTTATTAATGGATTTAAGTATTCCCTTTGTAAGCCAGGGATTGTTAAGCCTTTTGGTTGTGACTTGTTTTGTAAGCATAGGACAGTGGGTGTTATAAAGGCTAAGAGTTTTTTTAAGAAAAGATTGCACTGCTAGGTTGATGTCCCCTATGTTACCTAACTCGGACTCCCAGTTGACATTATCAGCAGCAGTTATAAAATTGTCTATAGCAGTTTCATTGTGCAGCCTAAAACTTAACTCCCCTGACTCTAGAGGTGGTTTGCTAATGTTAGTTAAGAGAAATGTGGGGTAATGGTCTGTAGTGCTATCGGTGATTATACCTGAAGTAAACGGAGAGGTTATGTTGGTCCAGATGTGATCTAGAGTCGTGGCAGTACTATCAGTGATTCTAGTTGGTCTAGTGATTAAGGGTATGAGGAAGCAGGAATTCATACAGTTGAGGAAGCTAACAGCAGTAGGGTGTTCAGGCTCGCAGAGGTTAATCATTGCTATCTAAAATAATTAGAAGAGCCAAAATTAAATACTACAAAGATAAATTTACCCACACAAAGGGCAACATTAAGAAAACATGGAACACAATTTCACAAATATTGGGATCAAAGAATATTTTAAATAACAAACCAATACTCGTGTCCAATAACGATGGTCACCTTACAACCTCTGATACTGCTATTGAGTTCAATAGGTTCTTCTCTTCCATTGGGTCATCCCTTGCAAATGATATTCCATCTTCCAGTACTGATGTTAAGGACTATCTTACAGGTAACTATCCACAGTCTCTGTACCTAACGCCTGCAAATTCCACTGACGTCAATGAGATAATCCTTTCCCTTAAAACCAACTCTAGTGCCCTTACGGAGATACCAACTTTAATTTACAAAAAAGCCTCCAGATCTTTAGCCCCTGCTATTGCATTGCTCTTTAACAAGTCACTTGAACTCCAAACCTTTCCAGATATTCTAAAAAAAAAAAGCGAGAGTAACCCTTGCCCATAAATGTGGTGATCTCACTGATGTCAACAACTTCAGACCTATATCAATTCTGCCAAACTTGTCAAAAATATTCGAAAAACTAATATACAAACAGCTTTACTCTTATCTAGCCAAACACAATATACTAAGCTCTTGTCAATATGGCTTCAGACCCCAAAGAAAGCACTAACGATGCACTTATCAGTATGATTAACTTGATACATACAGCTCTTGATAAAAATGAGTTCCTTGTTGAGTTATTTGTGGACCTGCGTAAGGCTTTTGACACTGTCAACCACCAAAACCTTCTTAAATTACATCATTATGGAGTCAGAGGACACTCCCTGCAATACCTCAAATCCTACCTTACTGACAGACTCCAGTATGTTTCTGTGAATAATTCAATTTCTCCCACCCTACCCACCAACATTGGTGTTCCTCAGGGCAGCATACTTGGCCCTCTCCTCTTTCTCATCTACATTAATGACCTTTCAAATGCCTCGCAACACCTCAAACCAATTCTATTTGCTGACGACACGACCTGCATTTACTCCAGTCCTGACCCCCTTGCTCTAAATGTCACAGTGAATACTGAGCTAAATAAAGTCCATCACTGGCTAACTGCCAAACAAACTCACCCTTAACATTGACAAAACTTTCTATATTTTGTTTGGCAATAAATCCTCAAATCAAATAAATCTCAGGATAAACAATACCCAAATTTGTAACAAAGTAGATGGCAAATTCCTTGGCGTTTTCATTGACCACAAGCTGAATTTCCAGGTACACATTCTAAATATATCAAAAAAAGTTTCAAAAACTGTTGGCATTCTTTCTAGGATCAACAATTATGTTAATTGGTGGTCAATTATGTTAAAGACTGTACCTCTCCCAACCAGTTTAAGATAAAAACTAAGTACTACCTAATTAGCTCCCTGTAACCTACCTTACCCTTATATGTCAACCGATGTCTGCTATTTTAAACAATGCTGTTTGTTGACCAAATTGCTTATTTGCTATTTTTCTGCCATGTTCCCCCTCCCCCTTTTTCCATTTTTTTCTTATTTTTTCACAACACAATTTATACTTTAATCTCAATTAGTATTAAGTTTTAGTATTATTGTTTTTCCTGCCCGAAACGCTTTGCGTAATAGTGGCTTAAGGCATTGTGTGTACTAGCTCTATCTATAAATCCATCAATGTTTGTATCTCACCTTGTATGTATGCACTTTACCTGAATAAACATTTTATTTGATTTGATTTTGAAATTCTACTATCAAATTGCTTAGTACGTCGATCTTTGTACTATGGTGCACATAGATATAAAAGCTACTATCCAAACAGGAGGATGGGTTGATATATATCTGCCGGTTTACCGACACATTATTGTTATTATTGAATTATTAATATAATATATTATTATTATATATTATTTGAATTTGAATTGAAATTGAAATAAGTTTATTGAGGTAAAATACACACAAAGGGATGAGGTAGCTCAAGCTATTCTCACCCCGTTCAGTACATCGTGTTCATACATATATAGACACACATCACAAACAATAAATAATTGAACTATATGTTTAACACTTCTCTAACCCTGTCCATGGAGGACAGAAAAAAAATGTATATATGCTGATTAGCATTATAAATGTGTGGCCACGTCTGTGGTAGAAAAAATAAATAAATAAATAAATATATTGCCAAACATTCTGAGAAATAAACATATACATTTCCTCCTTTACACAAGTAGTATGGTACCAGACGTACACACAAATACTTTTATGACTTAGGTATACTTTAAAGACAATTTGCAAGAGACATGCAGATAATAAACAAACGGTTACAGTCTTGGTGCAAAATTCTTATATCTCTCCAGAATACATAACAATGAACATCTGTAACCCTGTTTCTTAAACCATTAACATTCCATGACAACATTTCAATCTACGGTGATCCATTATTAATCAATTCACTTTCCAAGTCATCCCCAATAAGTTCACTAAATGATAGCCATACCTTGTATAACATCTCCCACCTCCTCCCAACTTCATCGGTAAAAGCAACATTGCGTTTCTCAAGAGATTTTTTCAGTTCCGTGACGTCCATTATTGGCCCCAAATGATTCCTTTATGTTATGTTTAATTATAGAGTTCTTCCTTTCACTACGACTACTATCAATTACACACACTTCACTTTCCTTCATTTCATCACTCATTGTTGCATTATTGTCCTCAACCACTATTTCCTGATTTTCCTTCACTGTTTTGTAACTTTCCTTAACCTTCACCGGAACGTTTAATTTCGCCTCGATGGACTTGATTCTCTGCCCAAGATTTCGTAGGAACTTTTATATATATAACTTTTTATATCGCCGACTTTTCTTAGTTCAGCCCACACCTCCTTGACCATACCATTATGGCCCTCTTTCTGAGCCCCAGTAGCCACTTCACTCACCGTTACACTGTCACTGCCGGAGTCCTGAGTGTTGGCGTGACTGCTTGTTGCTTAAGCCTGACGAGGTAAAGGTGACTCCTTTACCCACGCATTCGTCCGGTTTACTGGTGCTGTTTGGGGCGGACTGTTCTGCTGTGCTCCCGGTGTCTGGGTAAGAGCTCTTGCTTGCTCTGTAACATTCACCGGCCGGGGAACATCCATACTCGGCCTCTTGCTACACACAGCCGAGCTGGCATTGTGAACACCTCCACAGTTGCAACATCTGGGAACTATTTTCTCAACCAGATTAAGTCTGTTTCTACACACAGAGAGGTGAGACTTTCCGCAGAAACGACATCGTGGATCATGTTGACAGCTCCAGGATTTATGCCCTCAATCTGCAGCATTTCAGGCATATTATGGGCTCTTCTACATACTTTGCTACATGCCTGTAGCCCGCCCCGGTGATGAACACTTTCTCGGGAACTTCACCTCTCACTAGAGCCACCACCTGACTCCTAGCTTCACCTTTAATAAGGTGACGCTTGGCCCACACAAATCGTTGGTCGTCGAGGATGAATTCTGGGTCTAGACTATGAGGGTATTTGTATATAATTACCTTCGTCAGCTTCTCGTTCTTCTCCGGTATTTGCATAACAATTCCTTCATATCCTTGCTGGTAAGAAACACAACAGCCTCCATAGAATCTATCGTTAAGTAAGGTCTGTTTACACCTTCCTTCAGCAGGGGCTCGAAATGCGGTGTTCTCTTCCAAGTCTGACTGTCCACAGCAGCTTGTGGTGGTAGGCCAGTGTGCATGAAGCAGGGAAGAGAAGCCTCCACCTCCGCTGACCCCTCACCTTCCTGACATCGTTCTGTCCTTTCGTCGACACTGGTTTGATCAGTCTCAGCGTCGTTCCTCATTCTCTTGTCGTTTCCATTAGGTACACTGTCACTGCCAACACTACGCCCCACATCCTGTCTTCTCCGTTTCTTCTGTTGCCTGGTTAGAACTTCTTGAAAATCACTCTCCTCTACTGGCTGGCTGCTTTCTGAGTCTGTGTCCATGCGAATATTGCCGTGGGGAGTAGCCAGTTCTTCTGTTACCCGATTCTCCATCTCAGTACCCAGCATGGGGAGAGATGTGTAGAATGCGATATGTTGTAGAGGTGTTACTCTGGCAAGGGTGCAGGCGAGATGCGTATTATTTGAATATATTATATAAATATACTATTATATGAATATATTATTATTATTATTATTATTATTGAGTTATTATTTAATTATTAATAATTATTGAATTATTATTAGGCTTGTACTTTGATGGTCGTGCTGAGAACTTGAGGCTCGTAGCCCCGCGTGGAGAGGTAAACACCAGCGGCTGATCGGCCCTCCTGCTCTCAGGCATCCAGAGCAAGAAATAAATTATCTTTGATGCAGAAAATAAGGCTTTAGGAAGCACTATGGCTCTACGGTGTGCTTTAGGACTGAGGGTGTTACTCTCTAGTGGAGTGTCCTCCAGGATGGTCACAGTCGGGAGTGTCCAGGCCAGACCGCTCTCTCTTACTGCTACTAACTTTTTAAAAGAAAGTAAGTCATTTTGATTATAATTTGTACGTCTTTGGCTCACATTCAAGGAGCCTTGAGTTCAGTTTCTTGGAGGAATAGAAACAGTTGGGAACATTTCCTTTAATCTGATGCCTCTTTACGTAGACCTCGGGTATGAAGCCAGGTGTTGTGGGCTGCATCCTGGGAAGGTAGTTGATAAAACTTGAGTGTCCTCCAACGATGGGAATTATTAAATTAATCTTCACCACTTTAACAATCTAAACAATGCAACATGTGCTAACCTGCCTCCCCCCCTCCCCGTCATGTTAAAATTATTGCCTTAATGTTGACCAAACCACACACTAGAAAGTGAAGGGACGATGACGTTTCGGTCCGTCCTGGACCATTCTCCTGGTTTGTGGACCTCGACCACAATCGACTTGAGAATGGTCCAGGATGGACCGAAACGTCGTCGTCCCTTCACTTTCTGGTGTGTGGTTTGGTCAACATATTTCGGCCACGTTATTGTGACTCCTTGTCTGCATTGCCTTAATGTTTACTTATACAGTGCACTTATTATGTACTGTATATCCATTTCACATGCCGGTTTTGCCGCCCCCTTGCCAGTACACCATCCTAGTCACTTTACTTCTCAGTATTTCCCAGTTTGGCACCAATTCCAGATATTCCAAGCAATATCAAGCAAAAGTCTTCTTAACAGTGTACTGTTTACTGTATGTAAGATCCTGTTAACAGTGTTCTGTACTACTGTATGTAAGATCCTACTAACAGTGTACTATACTACTTTATGTAGGATCCTGTTAACAGTGTACTGTACTACTGTTTGTAAGATCCTGTTAAGTAAGATGTTTGCATTAATAAAACATTTTCCCTGATATTTTTACAGCAAATTGCCCAGTTTATTACTTTAAAGATATAATGAATGGTAAATCTCATTCTATAGATAAAACTGATGAGTTTGATGTTACATAATAACTTTGTCTTTTTTCAGTCATTGTTCAAGAGGAGGGTAATCAATTAATAATAAAAGGAGCTTACATAGAATCACCTCGTACCCCTCTGTTGATCAAGACAGGGCATGATGAAAACCATACATGCTCTCTCTGTGCTCTCAATCTCGACTTAAAACATACTGTAAGTTTTCATTTTTTTTGTTTTACTCGTGTTTTAATATGAAACTGGTTAATGATCTAATACATTATTTTCTTTGTCTATTTTTCTGGGGGGGGGGGGAAGCCCCTACGGCTCCCTGGAGCTATCCATGGCTGATATGGATACCCTAACTATTTTGCATCAGTCGACATAGGTGGAGTTCTAGGCCTACCGAGGACCACAAGCCAGAACCTGGCTCCCCTCACAGAGGCACGAGGAGCAATGGCCCATAGAAATGCACGTGTGATTTGGAGCATTTTTTATCTGCCATCGACCGGGACAGGCACCCAGAAAGGTAAGCGCCACAAAACAAACCCCCTATTCTGGTTAACAACAAAAATTGTGAAACGAGTCGACAGAACTCCCCAAAAGAAAAAGCGAGCAAACTGCTAAAAGTTTGGCAGTTTGAAGGGGGAGCCACAGACCCCCGCACCGGCGATCTCCACCCCAGTTCCTTGGCTGATGGGATCGTGCATGGTTGTGTGGCTCCAGCTCTAGTCTTCTCTCAGTGCTGTTCATTGTTTTCAGTAATTATCTAAGTGTAGTTACAGGATGAGAGCTACGCTCGTGGTGTCCCGTCTCCCCAGCACTCTTTGTCATATAATGCTTTGAAATTACTGACGGTTTTTGCCTCCACCACCTTCTCACCTAACTTGTTCCAACCGTCTACCACTGTTTACAAAAGTGAATTTTCTTATATTTCTCCGGCAGCTTTGTTTCGTTAGTTTAAATCTATGGCCTCTTGTTCTTGAAGTTCCGGGTCTCAGGAATTCTTCCCAATCAATTTTATCGATTCCTGTTACTATTTTGAATGTAGTGATCATATCGCCTCTTTTTCTTCTATCTTCTAGTTTTTGCATATTTAACCCTTAACATGCTCGGGGTCTAATATCCTGCTATCCACACAGGCGCATGTCATTTTGAAAAAAAAAAAATTTTTTTTTTTTGCTAATCTGTTAAGTTCTGTTCACTGATCACGGGAAAAATAAAAAAAAAATTCTATTGTACTTACTTTTGTTGCAATAGAGCCGAGAAGCTCTGTGATGACGTCACAATCTGCATGTTCGCTCATGCAGTACACGCCCGGGAGGTGTTGCGCGCGGTCCTCAAACAGCCAGAGTTGCCACAAATATATTTTCGCGCTATTTATTTACAATGTCTAAGCGCATTTTATCTAATTTTTTTTCACTAATTGTGTTTCAAATACTGTTTGAACATATTTTGTATCAATAATTGTTGCATATTTGAGTATACACAGGCGCACACAAATGTTTTCAATTACGGCAATATAATATGTCATTACAGTCTATTATATTGTATGTTCTGCTTATATTTGTATATATTTACACACACGCACACGCTATCTGCTTATATGTTTACATATTTACACACTCGCACACGCTATACACACTTTGAAGCACACTTAGAAGATTTCTAGACTGTGGTAGTCATTGAAGCAGTCGACAGCACATAATGGGATACCACACGTTTCACACCATGTTTGCACAAGCTTCCGTTTCTTGTCTCTACGTGTCGTTGTTTTACACACCAAGCAATCACGTTGGGCTATTGCACGCTTCACACCAGGTGGCAAATACTTAAGTTTGTGTGCTAGGAAGCCTTCAGTGTGAGCGAGGCGTGGAGTACCAGCATGCTGCAACAGTGGGTTTATGATGGGCCGCTGAATACCTGGGACATCTTTTGCAAACTTTCCTAATAACTGTATTGCAGCATCAAATACAAAGTCACGGAAAGTGGGCTTACGTCCAGTTCTCACAAGGTACATGTTGAAACAGTTCAGCATGCTCATGTCCACAAGATGGAAGAACACTTTTTTCGTCCACCTACATGTCTTCCGCACACACTCTGCAGTGCCAATCATCATGTCTGATTTATCAATCAACCGCATGTTGATATTATAGTCTAAAACACAGTCTGGCTTATATAGTGGTGCGTTTGTTTTATGGCTCACTTTCCCACTGTTCACCATTGTTCCATCATGAATTGTTGTCAACAAGTTCACCTCTCTTTTGTCTTTCCACCGAACTGACAGAATGTTATCACTTTTCCTTCTCTGACACTCACCAACTGCAATGTCGTTGTCAAACACAGGCATTTCCCTTCGTTGTGGCTTTACTGTACCAACCAATCCGGTTCTATTTTCTAGCAAGAACCGAGCTAGCAAGGGACTTGTATAGTAATTATCTGTGTATAAAATGTGTCCCTTGTTCATCCACGGAGCCATGATGGTCTTCACTACACTCCCCGAGAATCCATGTTCGTCGTTACCGGGAATGTCTACATCACTAGCCGAGTACAGAATCATGTGTAACACGTATCCTGTCTCACAATCACAAAGAACAAAAAATTTCAGGCCAAATCGGTTTCGTTTTGAGGGAATGTACTGTTTGAATGGAACACGTCCCTTGAAAAGTATGAGAGATTCATCAACCACCAGCTTCTGTGCTGGTACGTAAAAATCTCTGAATTTTCCAATAACATCGTTCATGTAGTGCCTCACTCGCCACAGTCTATCATCAGGTGTTCGGTCCTGAACACTTCCAAAATGTAGACACCTGAGGAGTATCTGAAACCTGTCTCGTGACATATATTTCCCGAATAAAGGTGTTGGTATTGTCTTGTCCTTGCTCCAATAGTCATTTATTGCATGTTTGTGACAGTGCTTCATCAACAAACAGAGTGCCAAAAACACATACATTTCCGCCACTGTGGTATTTTTCCAACGCTGCAGTCGTGAAAATTCTGTGATTTCCCTCTCAATCAGGTAAGCAGCATGCAGGTTCGTTTGGTGTACAATGTATTCCATGAGTGGTTCATCATAGAATGCTGTAAAATATTCCATCTCAGCCATGTCCTCACCTTGATTAGGGAAAAGGTTTGTAATCCCTACATCTTTATCGTCAAAGTGAGGAATATTAGGAATAAAATCGTCACCATCACTCCACTCAAGTACACCAGGCGTCCTGCGAGATGCAGAGGAAAGACGGCGAGGAAGCGATGCATACCGGCGACCAGGAGCTGAATACCGTCTGCGAGAAGCACGGCGGCTACGTGCACGTGAGGTGGGTGCACGTGAGGTGGGTGCACGTGAGGTGGATGCACGTGCACGTGAGGTGGATGCACGTAAGGTGGATGCACGTGAGGTGGATGCACGTGAACACGAGGGTCTTGGTCCCTCATGTGGTGCCATGCGGTGGCGCTTGGCTGGGCTAGATGCTGCTGACGCGACAATTTCTCGCCCAGTTACACCACTGGTACCAGCCACAGGCTCAATAAAACTTTGATCTGAGTCACTAAACCCAGAAAAGGAGTCACCTCCCTCTGACTCGTCACCCTCAAACAGAAAATATCCACAGGAACTGTGAGGTCGTGGTAGAATTGGGGTAGAAAATGGGCGAGGAGGCATGGGAGAGCGTATAGGCCTCGCCATGGCATGGCGGTCATTCTCACTTTCACTGCTGCTGCTACTATCACCCGACAACTGTGTATAATCCTCATCGTTGTCTGAATCGTCAAACACACTTTCTTCACCTTCAGAGAATAATTCATGGGCTATTTGCTCTGGGGTGAGGGACTGAGTGGTGCGTGCCCGTGGGGCGTTTGACCGTGCGCTCGCCATGGTGACTCTCGCTAAACTGAGGCCTCCCATGCCATCGGAGCGTGAGCTGGATTTTTTTTCAAAATGGCCGCTGTTTACTAGAGCCCCTGGGCAGCGTATGGGACCCCCAGCTACACCGCGGGCCATTCAAATCGTGCGCGGTACCCATACACTTCATATGAAGTGAAGCGCAGTTGACTGGTAAAACGATTTACACTTCATATGAAGTGATGCGCACTTTAAGGGTTAATGCCTCTAACCTCTCCTCGTAGCTCTTGCCCTTCAGTTCTGGGAGCCACTTAGTGGCATGTCGTTGCACCTTTTCCAGTTTGTTGATGTGCTTCTTAAGATATGGGCACCATACTACCACTGCATCTTCCAGCTTTGGTCTAACAAAAGTCGTGAACAATTTCCTTAGTATTTCTCCATCCATGTATTTAAAAGCAATTCTGAAGTTAGAAAGTGTTGCATAGGCTCCTCACACAATGTCCTTAATGTGGTCCTCAGGTGACAGTTCTCTATCTAGAACCACCCCTAGATCCCTTTCCTTGTCAGAAATCTTTAATGTTTCTCACATAATTTATAGGTTGTGTGGGGTCTATGTTCTCCAGTTCCACATTCCATAACATGGAATTTATTCACATTAAATTCCATTTGCCAAGTGTTGCTCCATATACTTATTTTGTCCAGGTCTTCTTGAAGGGCATGACAATCATCTAGGTTTCTTATCTTCTATTATCTTAGCATCATCAGCAAACATGTTCATATAATTCTGTATTCCCACTGGTAAATCGTTTATGTAGACAATGAACATTACTGGTGCAAGAACTGAACCCTGTGGTACTCCACTCATGACATTCCTCCAATCCGATACCTTGCCTCTGATTACGACCTTCATTTTTCTGTCAGGAAATTTTTCATCTATGTTAGAAGCTTACCTGTCACCCCTCCAATATGTTCCAGTTTCCAGAACAACCTCTTATGGGGAACTCTGTCGAAAGCCTTTTTTAGGTCCAGATAGATGCAGTCAAGCCAACCATCTCTTTCTTGTAAAATCTCTGTGGCTCGATCATAAAATCTGAGTAAGTTCGTTACACAGGATCTTCCAGATCGAAAACCATACTGTCTGTCTGATATTATATCGTTTTCCTCCAGGTGTTCTACCCATTTAGTTTTAATTATTTTTTCCAATATTTTGACTATTACACCTGTCAATGATTCAGGTCTATAATTAAGGGGGTCTTCCCTGCTTCTACTTTTGTAGATTGGAACTATGTTAGCCTTTTTCCACACATCGGCTACAACTCCTGTAAACAGGGATGCCTGAAAAATCAGTTGAAGTGGAATGCTGAGCTCATGTGCA